CCTCCTCCTCCTCCTCCTCCTCCTCCTCCTCCTCCTCCTCCTCCTCCACCCGTCCCTCTGCCATCTTCCCTCTTCCCTCCTCCTCGTCATCCTCCTCCTCCTCCGCCTCCTCCTCCTCCCCGAGCGTGCCCGCCAGGAGGGGGGGGGGGGCGGCGTCCACGACGTCCGACCGCATGCCGCAGAACATGGCCGACAGGTGGCTGGTGACGTCCAGCGGCGAAGCGGTCAGCGGGTCGACCACGCAGCAGCGCTGCTGGAAGGCCCGGATCCTGAGGGCCAGGCTACGGCAAAGGCCGGTGGACCGGGGGTCGGGCGGAGGACTGTGACGTGGGCTACAGTCGGGGCGTTGACCTAAGGAACCCTAAATCAGGAACGAGGCCCCTTGTTTCCATAAGTTAACCTTCGACTTCCTGTCGAAAGCATAAGGAAAGCCTGAGGCAAGCTGTGAAACACTTAAGGAAACGCGGAACCCTCCCCAACGAAAAGGGTTCCTTCTTCAGGGCCCCGACTGTATGGGCGGGTAAGTAGAGGAGAAGAGGGCCAGAGGGGACGAGGACGACGACGCAGGGGCGACGACGACGACGAAGGGGCGTCGGGGGACAATGTCCGTGCCCCCCCTCTTCCCTCGCTTGAGCAGGGACCGACCGTCCCGGCATTCCTATTGTCCTACCACGGAATATTCTTGTTAGAACCCCAAAAATGTGCTAAGAACAAGAACAGTGTTCTTAGAACCTACACCCGACGTGTTGAAACAAGACAGTCCCGGCCAGAAACGTTCTGGGAACGTTTCGTGGGAACCACAAGAGGTTCTTGGAACATTCTCTGGTAGGGCTATAGGCACGCCAAAACGCTTCGCCACTGCTTCCCTCGCCCCCCCCTCGAGCCGCCCCTGGATGCTCTCACATCCGCTGGCCCCCCGCCCAGCACGCAGCTGGCATGTTGCCGCCCCATGCGCTGCGTGCGCAGCGAGCGCACCCCGGGCCGGGCACAAAGGAGACAGGCCTCCTCCTCCTCCCCCTCCCCCTCCTCCTCCTCCTCCTCCTCCTCCTCCTCCTCCTCCTCCTCCTCCTCCTCCTCCTCCTCCCCCTCCTCCGCCTCCTCCTCCTCCTCCTCCCCTCCTCCTCCTCCTCCTCCTCCTCCTCCTCCATCCTCTCCTCCTCCTCCCTCCTCCTCCTCCTCCTCCCTCCTCCTCCTCTCCTCCTCCTCCCCTCCTCCTCCTTCCTCCTCCTCCTCCGCCTCCTCCTCACCTCCTCTGCTCCTCCTCTCCTCTCCTCCTCCTCCTCCTCCTCCTCCTCCTCCTCCTCCTCCTCCTCCTCCTTCCTCCTCCTCCTCCTCTCCTCTCCTCCTCCTCCTCCTCCTCCTCCTCCTCCTCCTCCTCCTCCTCCTCCTCCTCCTCGCCTCCTACCTCCGCTCCTCCTCCTCCTCCTCCTCCTCCTCCTCCTCCTCCTCCTCCTCCTCCTCCTCCTCCTCCTCCTCCTCCTCCTCCTCCTCCTCCTCCGCCTCCTCCTCCTCCTCCTCCCTCCTCCTCCTCCTCCTCTCCTCCTCCTCCTCCTCCTCCTCCTCCTCCTCCTCCTCCTCCTCTCCTCCTCCTCCTCCTCCTCCTCCTCCTCCTCCCTCCTCCTCCTCTCCTCCTCCTCCTCCTCCCCCTCCCCTCCGCCTCCTCCTCAAAGGCCTCCCAGATAGGGGTCCGACTACAGATCGCGCTGCATCGCCGACGCATCGGAGACGCATCGGTGGCGCAGTGGTAATGCATCAGCGACGTCGTGGAGAAAATCGCGTTCCACATCGAGCTGCATCGCCAATGCATCGGCGATGCAGCGCGATCCTCCGATCCCATCAGCTCGGGCCCCATCTGGGAAGCCCAGAAAGGAGACGGGTGGAGGGGAGAGGGAGGAGAGAGGAAGGAGGGAGGAGAGAGGGGGGAAGAGGGAGGAAGGGGAAGGATAGGGGGGAGAGGGGGGGAGAGGGAGGAGAGAGGGGGGAAGGAGGCAAGGGGAGGAGGGATAGGGGAGGAGAGGGACGGGCTGCAGCGATTGCAGTACTCGGGCCGAGGTCCCTCGCTCCCAGCGCGGAATCCACCTGGTGTCCGTGGGCAGGCCTCGCTCCTTCAGCCGGCCTCTCTCCGACGCTCCCTCTTCGAGCTCACTCCACCGCAGCCGCCGGCGAGCATTGCGACCGCGCCAGCTCGCCATGCGGCGCTGTGTTGTCGCACCCGCTCGGGTCCAAGCGGCGGTCGGGGGCGGCCGACGGGCGCTGCGGGGCCGAGCTTGGCACAGGCAGAAGAGGGGCAGAGCGGGGGCGCGGGGGAGATGAAGGCGGAGCACGCTCAGAGCTTGAAGTGCTTGAGCGTGTGTGCCAGAGCATGGGCTTGCACAGCAGGAAGAGGCGGATGAAGTCCGAGGAAGTGAGGGGCACTCGAATCCAGGGGACACGATCTCATCACAATACGGTACACATCAAGCTCAGGTGCCTTGAGGGCGTATAGTCCAAATACACAGCACGGATGCAAGGTAAGGATGCAAGATCCTTGAAGTCCCATTTACCATGTTGAGCTCCTTCGACGTCAACATTGGCTCAGGAGGGGCAGAAGAAGCAGGAATGCAAGCGCGGGTAGCCTCGAAGAAGCTATGGATTTTGACTGTACCGACCAGCCTGGTCAGCACAATCGTCTGGATCGCCAAGGAGGCCTCGCAGCCGCTCCTCGCACATCGTTCGCAATGTTTCGCTGGGACTCACGATGATTGGAGCACTGGATAAGGAGGAGTCATACTCGAGTGCAGCCTCCACCTGCGCCTAAACCTTCGGGTGGCCAGCCCTGGGTGGTCAAGTCCCTGGCACCTGACAATTTATCCAGCCCCCAGGCCTGTGAGAACGATGCACAGAGACCCACGTTGTGGATGGGGGGAAGGGCACAGACGCCTTCCCGAACGTCCGCCTCAGCCTATACAATCGCGTGCTCCGTAAGCCTGCAAGGTCTCCCAATTACATAAGCACTCCCGATTAGGCTGCGTCCAACCATCGTGAGAACTCTGGTCTCCTGAATGGCTTCCTCATGGCGGGCGGGCCTCATACGATTCGTGAGATACGGCTGCTCGGATGCCGCCAACCTGGTCAGACAGCAGCCGAACTACCGAGCAGCAACTCTCAGCTTGGATCGGCGGGGTCTGGGCCGACGTGCAGATCGACCTTCACGCCGGCAGTGCCCCCCACCCCATCAGTGTCGAGGACGGGGGGATGGATGAAGGGGCCCTGGGACACACAACTAACTACACACGAATAAAAATATTCCCCATCTTTTCGTATATTTTCTGGGTTTTTGTCTTCCCCCCTCACTTCCCATATTTTCACATTTTTTCTGGGAAATCGACGAGTCATTGTGTCTGTGTGTTTCTTTCCCTCCTGAATGGAACAGGTCGACCCTGAGTCGAACCTGAGTCGAACCTGAGTCGAACTTGAGTCGAACTTGAGTCGAACTTGAGTCGAACTGGGGTCGAACAGATCCGTTAGGTGGGCTCCAGGGAGGTCCCCGAAACGAGCATCGACCAACAGGGGGATGGAGGAGGAGGGAACGAAGGAGTGCGCCAGCCGCCGAGCTCCGCCGAGTCGACCAAACACACACACACACACACACACACACACACGAGCCTCCGGTTCGCTGGCCTACAGTCGGGGCGTTGGCCCAAGGAACCCCAAATAAGAAACGAAGCCCCCTTTCTCCCATGAGTGAAAGTCCGATGTTCCATGGGAAGCCTCGGGAAAACCCAAGGAGCACGGCAAAACAACTAAGGAACACGGAGCCCCTCTCGGACGAAAAGGGTTTCTTCTTCAGCGCCCCGACTGTAGTCGCAGTCGGGTTCTCACTGAGACGATCCTGTTGATCGGCGGCTTCGTGGAAGGAACCTGCTGTCGCCATCGACCGATCGGGCCGGAGGAGGAGAAGGAAGGAGGATGATCGGGTCGATCGCACGGAGGTGGTAGCGAAGGGGATTTAGCAAATCAACTCACATAGCTGGTTTTCCTGGCGCCTCCCGGCGCAGGGGTCGCCACTGTATCAAAGAAGGCGCACGGTGGCGGGGCCGAAGGCAGCTGCGTGAAACAGATTTTGCACCCCCTCTCTCCCTCGCCTCCCATTTCGTCCGACCCGAGGTGAGGGAAGTCGGAAATCTATCTGAATCAAGATGTTGTCGGGTCAGTGGCAAATGACGGCAAATAGCGGCAGGTAGCAACAACCGATTAGCGGCAAATGGCGGCACACGCCACTCGCCAACCGTCCAAGAATGGACCCCCTAAGTTATGCGCCGCTAGTGGCCGCCGAGCGCCTCAAAAAAAGAATGTCCTGTGCAAGTCAGGGCCTCCATGAAAACGAACCTCCGACAAGGGCCCCTCCAGTTTTACGCTGGGCATGTCCTCCTATACGCAGGTTTGCACAGAAAAATGGGGAATTGTTTTTTTGTTAAGTGGCAGCATCGTCCCAAGACGATCGATGTACTACTTCTTAAGACTCATCCTGTAGGAGGGACGCGCCCGGCCCGCGGAAGGGGGGCATGCTCGCCACCGGCGTCGCCTCCGCCGTCCGCGAACGGCGCCTGCCTCGTCGTCGTTCGTCGTCGTCGTCGTCCGTCGTCGTCCGTCGTCGTCCGTCGTCGTCCGCCGTCGTCGTCGTCGGCCTCCGCCGTCCGCGAACGGCGCCTCCCCCGTCGTCGTCGTCGTCGTCGTCGTCGTCGTCGTCGTTCGTCGTCGTCCGTCGTCCGTCGTCGTCGTCGTCCGTCGTCGTCGTCGTCGTCGTCGTCGTCCGCCGTCGTCGTCCGGCGTCGTCGTCGGCGGCGGCGGCGGCGGCGCGGCAGCGGCGTGGGCGTCGTCGGCGTGGGCGTCGGCTTGCGCGTCGTCGTCGTCGCTCTCGCTCGTCCTCGACGCCTCTCTCGTCGTCGGTGGCGTCTTTCGCCCCGATCGGCGGGGGGGGCGGGGCGGCGGCGGGGGGCGCGTCGGGGCGCGGCGGAGGCGCTGCCCGGGTGTGGGCTCCTCTGCTTCACCGAGTCCAAGATGCTCACGACGTCGCCAAGGTTGAGCACCTGGGCTGGCGACTCGGAACGAAACACCCGACCCCGATGTCAGGATCACCAGACATCGAATCAGGGAATCGGATCGAATCGGAATCGGCGTCGGGCCGTGCTGCACCCGCACCGGAAGCGAAGTCGAATCGGCTGCGCCAGGATGCACGGCACAGCGCTGCGGTCATCGGGCCGCACAGGATCGGCGAAAAATTGAATCGATCGGATCGAATAGGGCCCCGATGCCGGCGCCCAACTACTCGACAGTCTGCCGCGCGCCCGTCGTGGTCGCGGGGCTGTCTCGGCCGATGTGGGCACAAATGTGCACGATATGCCCAACAGCGAACGTAAACCGACGCCAGCAGCGACCGCTGTTGGGCAGGCGACGTCTGTCACAAGCGGGCAACGCCCGCAGCGACAAGGACAGCAACGCCCGCAGCGACAAGGACTTGCAAGATGTGCGTCTACTCTTCGTCCCCATCCTTTCCGCTTCCATTTCGATCGTACCGGTGGACCCATCCTGGGGTTGGTCAGAAGCGCTATTGGGTTGACCGGGGTCCTCTTGGAGCTCTCGCGGGACACTGTTTTGATTTTCTTGACGAGATATGCCCAACAGAACGTTTAACCGACACGTCGGCAACATGGTTGACTGCAAGCAGCGACCAAGCACCGCGGCGCTCGAGCCGCCCGTTGTTCCGCGACCATCGCGCGCGCGGCAGAAAGCTCGGTCATGCCGACAGGGGATGTGATGTCCAATAGAACAGTTTGGCTCAAGGCTGCGACTAGTTTTGAAAGCCAGGTATCGCCCCACCTCATGGTGGCGCGTGCACCACGCCGCCAGCTCCTGCGCGCGCAGTCTGACTCGCAGCACTCACGGATAGCACGCGCATCAAGGGCATATCGCCGACCGTGAACCACCTCCGTGCATACACCCAGCAGGATCAAGAACTCCGCGAACAAAAACGGCCACCACCAAAATCCCTTCGCCCCCAAAACTGCCGGATCCCACCGGATGGAGCTCTCCGCCCGCGCAGTCGCAGCCGCCTGCTGACGGTGATGGTCGAAGCAGGCTGTGTAACAATCGCCTCGGACGCGTTTTCTCGGCGGTCTCTTGGAGCCATCTTGGGGGTCTCTTGGGGCTCTCTGAAGGGCACTCTGGGGGCATTCTTGGGGCTCTTCTTGGGTGTCTTGCGGCCCTCGTGGCGTTCCTTGTGGGGGTCTGGGAGGCCTCTCGGGGCCGTCTGGGCCCCCCTTCCGCCGTCGACGCTCGCGCGGCCACGCTCCGCAGCGGCGCCGAGGCCTCCGCGCCGTCGCTCGGGCACCTCGGCCGCTCGCTCGCGCCCGCCCGCCTCGGCCGCGGCCGGGCCGACCACGGCGAGGGCGCGGCGCCGCGGCGAAGGCGGCGCCTTCGCCGTGGGGCCTCGCGGGCGGGGCAAGCGCGGGTGTCCTCGCAGGCCGCGGACGCGGAGAATCGGGCGCGCCGGGAGCGTCTTGTGCCGAAGGGCTGGGGCCAGGGGCAAGAAAAATGGCTACGGGAGCTTTCGCGGGCCCTCCCGGACCCTCATGGGCGACTGGCTCTTTGGGGCCAGAGTGGGAGCTGCTGAAACCTGCTGGACGAGGTTTGAAAACCTGGTGGGCAGCATCGAAAGACTCTGGGCCCATCCTTGCCCGTCTCGTTGGCAAGGTTCACCAAGAGAAACCCCAAAGGCATCGCCTGGGTTACACATGCCGCTTCGTCAGGCAAGCCGCACGTTGCGCATCACCACGGAGACAGACAAGGATTTTGAATGGATGTCGAATTAAGTGCCAGATCAAGTTACACGATGAACGCGGATCGCGAAGTCTTTCTACACTACTGCATGTGCAACGTTATTGATCGGGCTCCGTGCTTGAGGGACGGCGTGGCGCGTCCACGTCGAGCTTTGGCAGACAACAACAACAGCTGAGACATCTGGCCGTCCAGCGAAGAAGGAGGCGTATCATCCAGATGAAACTAAGGATGATTCTCGCCAAACCAGCCTTATCCCGTATGGGTCGTACGCATCTCTCAGACAGCAGAGGCGACTGCTGGTGAAGCTCAGTCGCGTCTTTTGCGGTTTCGCGTGGTAGGAGGCGCTGACGCAACCTCACGCAGATCGAGACGCCATTGCCAGGCGCTATGACGCTGAAACCTGATTGGTTGACACGTGGATGAAGCTTAATATCAAGTACGTTGCCACTGAGTATTCGAAAGCCTGTGGCTGCCACTCATGTCAGGTATGTTCTCATTACGCATCAAATCAAGCAAAACTTACACTGCTGAATTGGCTTACCCATCGTATACATTTCGTGTGCGTGCGCGTGCCCCCCCCCCTCCGGCACACGATGCCGCGCTGTGGCCGTGCCCACAGCGTGGCACCCGTACAGCGCGGGGGGGCAGCAGGAGCGGCGGGATCAGCAGGAGGATGAGGAGGAGCAGGAAAAACAGGGGATGCCACGTTGTGGCCACCCGTGGCATCCGTACAGAGTGGGGGAGCAGCAGGAGGATCAGCAGGAGCAACAAGATGAGCAGGAGATGCCACGCCGTGGTCATCCCCACAACGCGGCATCCGTACGGCGTATAAGGAACAGCAGGAGTAGCGGGATCAGCAAGATGGGCAGAACGATGATCTGGAGGAGCAGGAGGAACATGAGATGCCGCGCTGCGGCCACCCCCCATAGCGTGGCGGCCTTACAGCGTTGGGAAGCAGCAGGAGCAGCAAGAGGAGCAACCGGAGCAGCAGGATGGGGGAACAGGAGCAGCAGCAAGAGATGCCACGATGTGGGCACTCTCACAGCGTGGAATCTGCACAGCGCGAAGGAGCAGGAGGATCAGCAGGAGGAGCATCAGGACGAGCAGGAACAGCAAGACGAGCAGGAGATGCCACGCTGGGGCCTACCCCCACCGTGTGGCATCACAACGTAGGGGAGCAGCAGGAGCAGCGGGATCAGCAGGAGCAAGAAACCCAGGATATGCCACGCTGTGGCCAGCCCCGCAGAGTGGTATCCGTACAGCGCGGGGGGGCATCAGGAGGAGCAGCAGGAGCAGCAAGATCAGCAGGGGGGAGGCAGAGGATGCCACGATGTGGCTACGCCCACAGCGCGGTAATTATCTGCACAGCGCGAAGGAGCGGCAGGAGCAGCGGGCTCAGCAGGAGGAGCAGGAACAGGAGCAGCAGGAGCAGCGGGCTCAGCAGGAGGAAGAGCAGGAGGAGCGGCAGGATATGCCACGCTGTGGCCACTCTCACAGCGTGATATGCGTACAGCGTGCGGGGCAGCAGCAGGAGCAGCGGGAGGAGCAGGTGGAGCAGGAGGAGCAGGAGGAGGCCACGATGTGGCTACGCCCACAGCTTGGGGGGTAGCAGCAGGAGCAGCAGGAGGAGCAGGTGGAGCAGGAGGAGCAGGAGGAGCAGGAGATGCCATGCGGTGAGATCGCAGCGGGCGTCGCACCGTGGCACTGCAACAGGTGGCAGCGCGTGGCGCCCCCTCAAAAGCGTGGCGTACCTATCGCCCCCCCCCTTCACGCTGCCCCCCTCATCGCTACCCGTCCTAAAACGACGCGAAGATCGGGACAAAATCGGATCGGGATAACTCGAAATCTCTGAGAATCGGCGGGTTTGGAGGATGTATTGGGCGCCGCGGCCGCTCCAGAGCGTTCCGGAACGCTCTGAGAGCGCTCCGGAACGCTCTGGAGCGATTTATCCCGATCCTAGCCCTGTTTTACCTCCCCTTTCCGCATCCCCCTGCTGGACTGCACCGCGGAGGGTTCCATGCCGGAGGTGTCGAACTCCCGCTCCACCTGCTTGAGGAGCTTGCTCGGCGACAGGGCCTGCGGGGGCAGGGCTGGCAGGGGGACGGGGCTCGCGTCGGGGTCGCGGCGGCTCGGGGTGGAGGGGCCAGGAGTGATGATGTTGGGAGGAGAGAGACTGATGAGAAGAGGGAGGAGGAGGAGGAGGAGGAGGAGGAGGAGGAGGAGGAGGACGGCGACGACTTTGAGGGAGGCCAGGAAAGAGCGGGAGGGGTGGGAATTGGACGAGCAGCGAAGCAATGATAAGGCATGGCACCCGCACGGAAGAAGACCTTCAACAACTTTCCACATGGGCCTTGCAGTCCACCTCCTGACCCGTGCTACTGAAACTGAGACCACGGGCGCAACGACGACGGGGACTACGACTACGACTACGAATGCGACTACGACTTTGACCACGACTTTGACTACGACCACGACTACGACTTGAACCACAACCACGACCACGACTACGACGACGACGACGATTACAACTACTACTGCGGCTACTGATTGTGTTACCACTACGACCACGGCTCACCGCTAACCCTATTACTACCACTTCTACGACGACTACAATACCTACTACTACTACTACTACTACTACTACTACTACTACTACTACTGCTACTACTGCTACTACTACTACTACTACTACTACTACTACTACTACTACTACTACGACGACGACGACGACGACTACTACTACTACGACTACTAGTAATAGTACTACTACTACTACTACTACTACTACTACTACTACTACTACTACTACTACTACTAACTACTACTACGACTACTACTACTACTACTACTACTACTACTCTACCTACTCCTACTCCTACTCCTACTCCTACTCCTACTCCTACTCCTACTCCTACTACTAATCCTATTCTACTCCTACTCCTACTCCTACTCTACTCCTACTACTACTACTACTACTACTACTACTACTACTACTACTACTACTACTACTACTACTACTACTACTACTACTACTACTACTACGACTACTACTACTACTACTACTACTACTACTACTACTACTACTACTACTACTACTACTACTACTACTACTACTACTACTACTACTACTACTACTACTACTACTACTACTACTACTACTACTACTACTACTACTACTACTACTACTACTACTACTACTACTACTACTACGAATACGAATACTACTGCTACCACTACTCCTACTACTACTCCGACTACTCCTACTACTACTACTACTACTACTCACACGACTGTTACTACAATGTTAATAATAATAATATTTGTACGACTACTACTACTACTACTACTACTACTACTACTACTACTACGAATACTACTGCTACTACTGCTACTACTACTACTACTACTACTACTACTACTACTACTACTACTACTACTACTACTACTACTACTATTGCTACTACTACTACTACTACTACTACTACTACTACTACTACTACTACTAGCTCCTCCTCCTCCTCCTCACAGGTCCCTGCGTATAAGCAGTCCTACTCAGTACGAGAAGCGACTATTGAAAGATAAGCGCCCATGAGCCCTGCCACTGAGGCGGAAGACCCATTTTAACAGGATGAGCTTGCATCGACCTAGAACATGCACCAATAAATACAGTCGGGCGTTGACTTCTTATTCCTCTTCATGTCCTCGTCGCCCTCCTCCTCTCTGCCCGAGTCTGGGGCTAGTCATCAATGCGGCTCGCCATGTCAACGGCACTGCAGTACAGGCATGTGCCGCTGATGCCCTGCACGTAAAGGAAGTTGAGCATGGACTCCCGCATCTTCCATCGACGCCCGTCGCTCACGATCCCCCCAAGCCCCATCGCCTGAAGGATAGTCCCCTGGCTTGCATCCGCTCCTCAAGCACAAAAGGAGGAGTGTAAGGAAGAATGGGGGAGAAGGAGGACTCGGAGGAGGAGGAGGGATGAGAACAACGGGGGGACATACAAAGACAATGATGAGAGAGAACGTCCTCGTGCAGATCGTCGCGGAGGCTCTCCACCTCCTGTCTGGAGAGAGGCTGATAGGCGGGGTTCGGACTCTTGAGGGAGGATGTGTTATGCTCCTCTATCTCGTTGTTCACCGCGAGCGCACCCTTAGCGATCCCTGCTTGCACTTGCGTCATCTGCATCGCTTCTAGCTCAGACGGCGCGATGCGGGCCTCTCATCGATACCGCTCGCTTGGGGCACCTTCGTCTCGACGAGGTGGCTGAGCTCTTTCTGAGTTACTTGGGGGTTAGAACACAACTTGACTTGTCTAGGGGTGCATAGATGGATGTGTTGCAATGCGTGGGGATTCCCCATCCCTTTGAACTCACATTGGCAAATTTTGCACGCAAACTTGCGCAATTTCTGCTGGTAAACCGGCGCAGGCGCGGGCGCCGGCACCACGGCTATTTCCGCAGCCGGATACGCAACGTCGTGAGTAGGCGCATGTTTCGCCGCAGCATTAGCCTTTGCTTTCGCCTTTCCTGCTGATGCTTCAGGCCCCCCGTCCTCTGTTGGCGGCTTCTTCCGGCCGCCCTTTCCTGGATTCTCCGTGGGCGCATCCACGACGCGGAATTAGGTCGGGCCTGCCCCCTTACCTACAGCGGTACTTGGGGCGAAAATTTGTTAATAGCCCAAACATACCCCAGAAGGATCAAAAATACTCGAACCATCGTCCCCTGATCATTCTTTCTATTTCTGCAGACTCCTCCTGTAGAGGGACACGCCCGACTCAAACGCGGAACAGCCACTCTGATCACGCTCGGCCTGCTCCTGCCCGCCATGGCGCGGCGCGCCCGGCATGCCCCGCGCGGCGACGCGCGCGGACAGCCGTCTGCCGACGCACACTTCCACGTCGGGGATGCGCCCACGGATCGGGGATGGACAGAACCCCCTTTAATAGAACGTGGTTTCTCGGTCCGGGCGAAAGGGGGGGATAGCAAAAGGGGGTTTGAGAATCAGCTCACGTAGCTGATTTTCCCGGCGCCTCCCGGCGCCGGAGGCTGCTATGTATCGAGGAATGGGCCCCTCGATGGTGCCAAAACCAGCTGTATGCAGCAGATTTCGTACCCCCCCCTTTCCCAATCCCCCCCTTTCGCCCGGCCCGAGTTTCGTGAAAACGACCTCGGGCCCAAGCCTGGCGGGCGCAAGCCTGGAAAATGACGGCCGGGGCGCCCTCTCGAGAACCAAAAACGGACAATCCACTAATCGACGTGTCATGGTGGGAGTTCTGCCCACCCACGGACGGAGAATCCAGGAAGGGGCGGCCGGAAGAAGCCGCCAATAGAAGACGGGGGGCCTGAAGCACCAGCAGGAAAGGCGGAAGCCAAGGCCAAGGCGGAACCAGCGCCTACTCGCGACGCTGCCCCAGGGTGGCGGAGGCAGCCGTGGTGCCAGCGCCCGCGCAGGACTTCGAGCAGAAGCTGTGCAAGCTGCGGCAGCAGTTTTGCCACGTTTCCAGAGTGAGAGGCGGTGGGCAAGGCCCAAACCAGGTAGGTGTGCCCAGGACAAGAGAACTCAAAAGTTCCACCTCTGGACCCAGTCGTTTGCCGGCCTCCAGTGCAGCCCGTGTCTCGTGATTGCTGAGGAAGAGCAGTCGCCTCCAATGGACGGCTGCAAGGGGACGCCAGCGCTTGTTGTCCAGCTATTGGAGGACCCCAGAAGACACAATGTTGTTGCGGTTACCGGGCCGAGAGCCACGGCCGTGGGGTCAGCATAAATTTGTTTCCACAACTGCTGTGCGTCCAGTGTGGTGGGTGGTCTCAAGCGCGAGGGGCAAAACTCAGCAGGATTTGCCTCCCACCCGCTCCGAAAGTGTTGAGGTTGTGAAGGCCTTCAAGATAGGACTGGGGCCTAATCCTAAACTTCGTTCTGTTCTCGATCTGGCCATTCCTCTAGGCGCAACCTCTGTTGATCCTGTCACCCGTGCTGATACGCGACAAGTGACAACCGTGCCTGTCCCACCTGCGGCGCGCAGGAACCTGCTGCCGTCCCGCAGATCGCGCCGCCGACCTACGAGGCGAGGATGGCGGCCCTGTTCCAGCGGATCAGGGCCAAGGAGGAGGCCAAGCAGGCCTGATTTCCTCCCCCGTGCTTCAGCCATGTGACTTTTCTCCTCCCCCGTGCATTCATTCATCATCCTCATCTGGCTCATCCCTCCCTCGGGTGTTGCCTAATGGAGGGAAAGACGTGCACATGTCGTGTCCCGTTTGGGCCCTAGGGGACCCCTTCAGGGCACAAAAGGTGCACCTCTCTTCACCCCCCCCAGGTTATCGCCCCCCCATCACGCAACGCTGGGCCCCCAGGAGAACCCCAAATCGAATCGATGAATCCGATCGGCGATCGACATGAATCGGATCGGCGGAAATCGGCAGCCCAAGTCGGAAGAGGTCGCATCCGCGGACGTCGGCAGGCTGGCGAGGCCGCCACAGAGGAACCGAAGCCCGCATCGGAATCCGAAGCCGCATCGGCATCGCACCCGATGGCATTCGAATCGGGCCGAGTCGGAGGAATCGGCATGAGCCCCGCCCCCCCCCTCCGGCGGGAGCGGCAGGAATTCAGCCGGGACCGACCGTCCCGGCATTCCTAGTCATACCACGAAATGTTCTTAGAACCCCAACAAATTCTAAGAACAAAAACAAGGT